ATGCAGACTCCTCCGCCTAGCATCTTTTTTGCGACCTCTACTTGACGTTGTTTTTGCAAACAATTCAAGTATCGATCCATAAGATATGCCAACGAGACATTTTCCAAGCCTTGTTTCTTTACCGTCGGTAACAGAGATGGATCGCATGAGGCAAGTTTTCGATGACTTCACAATACTTGTGTTCGTGATAAAGTAAACTCCCCAAAACACTTCTACAACATTTTTAATGATACCGTAATCGTGATTCTATTGGAAAAAATTTAGTAAAAAATATTTTAAATTTCAATTTGTTATAAATTTTTTACTTGTAACCAAGCAAAAACCAAAAAAAAAAAATATAAAGGTGTAACGAAGCTGATTTTCGTATTCTATAACCAAATTTTAAATATAGAAACTAAATAATAATTTTAAGTGTTAATTTTATAATAATACATAATATAAAGCTTAAATTTTCTTGTATATATAAAATAGTCTGAGACCTTTTGAAGTATAGTTTTAGTAATCATTAGTTCTCAATAGGAATAATTAATCTGTCTGTATTAATTAGTGGCGATGCATAGCCTGAAGTTTTCGACCGTCCCCGAAAATTATATAATTTTCATGCAGGCCAAGAATAAATTTTATTTGGGTATTGCGTGCTCTATGCTGTCAAAGTCTTAACTACATTGGGCTTTATTAGGTGCTCGTTATTTTAATTTTGCAAATTGTTTCATGGGTTTTAATATTTCGAAACATATCTTGTCGTTCTCTTTTTGCAAGTTACCAAAGATCAATTGTGCTAATTAGTCTTTGCTGTTATATCGGGCAGATAAGTAGTCAATATTAGTGATAATAGCGAAGATCAGCAATATTATCGGTCTTTCTATCCTGATCAGATATGCAAAAAAATTTCAAATTATTGTAACCGAAATTTCACACCAGATTTACAAGGGTTCAAAACTGGATTTTACTTTAATGTACCCCATATTCTACATTTGAGCTTATTTGAGTGTAAATGCTCACAAATCAGCGGTCCATATTCATAGCTAACGTTCAGTACGTTGCACGTCTAGTGAAATCATCACACTTCACTGCTTCTGCTTAAGCTGAAGCTAAGTGGATGCGCAAGCAACACAGAAGAGCATTCAATTTACTTCCACCAAGCTCTATAAATAACGTTAAGTATTTTGCAATCCTTTAAGACCAGCGCATGTTGTTTTTCTCACAAATTTTTCGCTTCAAAGACGCCATGCATTAGCGCAAATTCACTTTTCCACATTATAAATTTACTGTAGTTTATACACTTATGGAAAGTTTTATTATATAGGTATGTATGTATAATGTTAGATATTCCTTCTACAATATACAATAAATATATATAAGACCAAATATGGCAACGAATTTTTTTATGAATAAATGAATAGCCTACAAATATATACATATTTCATTTCTTCAATGTGCTGAATCGCATCAAAATCATTAAAGCAGCGCGACAAATTAATCCACAACACATTTTGCGTGCCGTCGTCTACGATGGCAACCGAAAAGCCTAAGTAGTAGCGTTCTTTCAGTATTACAGCATTGAAATTCGTGATTCTGATTCACTTACTCAACTACATATGACTTGAGAGATATGCAGCTAAACATGTACGCAGGCAGCATTTGCCTTATAGATAAGTAAAGCGCGTTGTCAGCTTAGGCGCCTAAAAGCATGCTCTAAGTCATGCAAAATTACATACTTTCGACCTTCACTATTGCCAGTCTATTCTACTCGCTCTCACTCTCCCAAAAGTTACTTATGCTTTAAAGTCAATGCGTTAACTGGAAAATAACCAGGATTGAAAGTTTGCAGCCTATATATAATATTATATGTACATACTTATATCATAAGTATATATATAAGTAAGCTTTAGCACTAGTGCAATGCCCGACATCATGTGAGATAAGTTTGGTTTTCAGTTTCAATTTCATGCTCTGCAATTGAAATGAAAAGCCCTAACAAATCGCTCGTTAAGCATTTTACCATAAAACATACTACCACAAATATATACATATACACAATCACCCTGCGTAAATGGCTTTCAAGTGGTATTTTGGCTGTCTGAATTAGCTAAATGTTGCGTTCTAGCCACTTTATATACATACAGTGATATGGCTTTGAATGAAAATGTCTTAGCATTTAAATGTTGCCTATACTTAGGCGCTCAGTCAATTTGTATGTAAGATCTACATACATGCTATAAGTATTGTAGTTACATGTGTGACTTGGTTGTGCGATATAGTTGATATGTTATTATTTAAATAGGCGCAAATTAAATTGAAATGTTCGCAAAATACGTCAATCTACGGCTTGCATACGAAATTCGAGGCGTGCACCAACTCGTTTATTATATTTGTCTAGAGAAAACCACAAGGGCGCATGGAAATTAATTTCAAACATTATTTTTAGTCAACATGAAGAGACACATGAATGAGCAAGAAGCAAATTTATTTTTTTTTTTTACTCTGTTCATTTTGTTTTGAATAACAACGTTTTGAAGGCGGAGCAGCTATATTCATCCAAGTGAAGTTGGTATTGCTTATTAGCGCAATCAGCCTTTTTCCACTTTTAAAAAATTAGTGAAATTCCGCCTATTAATATGTTTAAAGTATATAGCTTACAAACCACTAAAGCTAAATCTGCCAAAACTTCTGTGAACAACTTCTAATTCTGTGTAAAAATGAGTGCAAACGTATGATAACTATGCCTACCCCCTATATATAGATTAGATGATTCGCAAGGGATTTATAAAAAGTATCAAAATTGTACCATGCGCGTATCACCGCCCATCTTTACTTGAAATCCTATAACTCAGCCAAACTTTCAACCAAATTTAATGCATAAGATTATTTTGACGTTTTTGACGCACGTTTTTGGCGATTTTGCTTTATGTGTAGTTGCATGGTCGTATAAAAAATTACTTCTGGCCAATTTTGATCATTTTTCGATCAATGCATATATCAAATTGTTCATTTGTTGTCTGTAGCGATTCGTATTAACCACACCCTGCTCATCCCACCAAATACAGAGTATTGCCTTCTTAACGAATCGATCTGCTTTTGCAATTGATGTTGATGGTTGTCCCGAATTAACCTATGATTTCCTCCGTGTACGATTCCAAAAACAAATTTTCATCGCCAGCGACAATTCACAATTGCTGTTTCGGTTGCCATTTATCTTTTATTCAATTCATGTGGCACCCATTTTCCACACTTTTGGATTTTTCATAGCTTTCAAACGGTTTGTTGTGCAACATAATAATAATTAACATGGATGCCATTTGCTTTTGACTCAAAGCATCATCTTCGTCCAATATTGCTTGCAGTTCGGCGTCTTCAAACTTCGAAACCATCTTTTGCATGTTGCTTCTAATAGAGCATAATCACCAAATGCCTCGACTAGCATGCGATGCGAGTCTGAAGCACTTTTCTTCAAATGGAAACAAAAAACTAATGCTTTCCGGTACAAAAAATTTCTTTCTTAAACACAAGCTGAATATTAACAAAGCCAAAATAAAGTAAAAGCATCCGCGCCTCCTGTTACTTTCTGTCATATAACAATATTTTATATTTCCAATAAAGTAAGAATGACAAGACCATCATAACTACTTGCATATATTATGTTTTATAGAAGGTCATAAGGATTATTTTGAAATTCTGTGCTTCATCACATCACTTTATGATTTTGTTCAAATTCTAAATGGAAAACACCACACACAAAATCACAAATTTTATTCTTATTATTTCTATTACTATTTTGCATATTTTTGCTGTAATGTCAGATAATGTCAATTCTATCAATAAAATTACTACAAGCAAGAAGTGACACAAATTCTGTAAATTATTCATTTTTATTGAATTCTTAAAACTTAAAGCGGCTTATTTCGCGAAATTACAGTGAAACAAGTAAAAAGTAAAAAAAAAATAAATATTTTGCCAGCAATTACAATTTCGATAGGCTTGTGGAAACATAAAAAATTCCAGTCTTTTTGGCTTTCTAGCAATGCTTGCATCGAAATTTCCCTTCGGAACTATTTTGCGCTGCTCACTTTTCTACTCAAATATTTTTCAAAAATATGGAATTATATGCACAAATATTCATGAGCCGCCTCAAAACAAAATTCAGCTGCCAGAAAATATTCTCAAAACTATGCAAAACAAATGCCTTGGGGTATGTTGGTATTAATTTCAATTAGGACTAATTATGTTTACATAGCTAACTCAATCGGTTGAAGCTTGAATGGTGCTGCTTAACCTCACTAGCGCCAAAAACAAAATCATGCAAACAAATTGTTCCCTTGTGGTGGCTTATTGTTTTGGGTTGTTATATTAGTGGGTTTTGTATTAGTATTGATGGCGTAGTGCTTATCATCGTCTAATGTCTGTGGAACTACAAATTATCCTCTTATTTTCATTTTGACTGGCAACGAATATCTATGAGGGAATAGATACAAATATACTGTTTTTGTAGAGCGTAATAAAACCTATTGAATATTGGTATCATGTCGCATTTGCCTAAAAATTGTTATAACTATAGTTAACTCAGGATATATGGGTTTAAGGGAAGCTAGTTTATCCTCTCTCCGCCTCTTCAATCTTTATCAAATTGGAAGTCGGAGTCCCCCGATTTCCTTCCTTTAAGAGATCGTCCCTTTTTAGAGCTCTTGCTGGTCCCGATCAGAGGGGATTATATTGATTCAGTCAGCTGATACTAAATACTAACCACTATATGCCGGTAGTTTTTAGATCTCTACTTCACAAGTTGGTCGTTTAAACTCCAATGTTAGACTTTTGTGCGCTAACCAAGAACCACCCTAATCATATGTTGATTTAAAGCAATCACCTGACAAGCTCTTTACACCAACAACGCCTTCTGGAGAAAAAATATAATAAATTAAGTACTAGAGTTGTGATATATTACCCTCAGAATAATGCAAAGGCGAAAGACTCTCGTAGAGTTAAAGACTAAAAAATATGTTGTATTAATACTCAAACCAATATTTATTTTATTTTAATATTTAGTAATAATGCTCATTTTATACAATTAATAAAAAGAGGGAGCATGATACTCAATATATAGCAATACTGCCTCATTTAGCAACGTTTTTATTATGGAATCACTGGTCTTATTTTAAATTTTCTCATCCATTTTCGCAGAACGCTCCTTCAGTTCCGCCATGAGTTTCTCTCTGATGAGTGCTTGTTCTGTAGATATATGTGGTTGGTATCGGGGCTGCTCTTTACTAATGTCCTTCTCAATTTCTTTAGAATTATTACAATTTTCGCTGATATTGTTGCTAGCTTCGGTTTTGACCTCCTCCGCCTTCATATTTTGACTGATATTCTCATTGTTGCTATATACGGATTTAATCTCCTCAGTCTTTGTCTTTGGCAATTCGTAACTCTGTTTATTTCCTGCATTTCTTTTAACGCTGCGTTCTTTAAGCTCAATCAAAAGACGTTGTTTAATGAGTGCTTGCTCCACGGATATATCTCGTCGAAAGCGTAGTATAAACTTAATTTCTGGTGATAATTCTGTTTTTACCGTGGATTCCCCGGCTTCTCCAATATTAAATCTTGTGTCGATATTTTGTACTCTCTCCAGTTTTATTTGTGCGCGATCACCATTCTGTGTTCGTTTCCTTAATTCTACGCTCAGTTTTGATAGTATTTCTCTCCAAGCTTTGGGCAGCTCTTTTTCAAACGGTGTTTGGCGCATTATAGCCATACGCCAAGCACGATTGCGAGCCATTTTCATTATGGCTTTATTCTGCCGTAACAATAATCTGCTCAACTTGCTATCTGTTCTGTCGTTATGTTGGGTGATCGAAGTTTCGTTGCTAATTTCTTCAAATTGCAAAGCACTCATTTTTTTTTTTTAATAAAGAAAAGATGCGAAAACGCTGCAGGAGAGATGTCAACCAAACGATTTTCTGTCTTGAACTGATAAACATGGATCGATCTCTAACTCTTTATACCTATGCTTAGTGAAGAATATACGAAGAGAGCAGGTAGCGCTCAATTTTTTAACAACAGTTTACCAGTACTGGGAAAATATGTGCCTACTGTAGGAAGGTATGAAGAAAGCAGCTAGCGCACTATGTTATTTACACCAATATTTTACCTGAACTTGGAAAATTTGTATATTTCTTTGTTAAAGAATTAAGATCATGCAGTCACTAAAATTAAGGTTTTAAGACTTTCTTAAAATCAAGTCTTAAATACATGTATGCTATTCGTATTTTTACGGAACTGTATTGAATTTCTTAGAAAAATACCAAATTTATAAAAATTTCCATATGCAAAAATGTGACATAAAATATTGAAAGATGGTTACAATAATCAAAAATTCGCAAAACAAATATTAAATTATCGACTACTCAATACTTGCTTTTAAAAAATATTATTTTCATGTATTTTATTAAGTATTTAATATATTTGCTGCAACAGGTATAAACTAATGCTATTATAATATATAACAAATATCGGAAACATTTTTAAATCCGCTGGCAATGGTTTCATAATTTATTCAGTTCAGCATCGCTGTCATTCCATAAAATCGAAAATAATTTCGATACATATTAAGTATCGTAATTTATCGATATATTTATATACGTTTTGCTAATTATTTTATTTGCTTTATTCAATATCACTTTATTTTCAGATTATCGATAATAAATTCGATAAATAATATATATCGAAATTTATCGATATATTTATTTACGTTTTGTAGATAAAATATTTAATTTGCTTTATCCATTGTCTCTTAGATTTCAAATAATTGATAATAAATTTTATAAACATTATCGAAATTTTTTGATATATTTATTCCCATGTTAAATGTCAAACTTTGCTTTATGTCGTGCTAACATGTTTCTGGGGCTATTCCCATGACTGCTGCTTTATAAAAGGCATTTTGAGATGACTCAGATCTCAAAATTATCACAAAGTAGATTGAATCCGATTTATAATAAACATTAACAACAAACAACATTATTGCAACCAACATTGTATAAAATTGTATCTCTTCTTCATAAGTTTCATTTAATCGTAGATCACTACAAGCTCCAGCAATAAGATTACCTCAAGGCTTTTGTCAAGAAAATGTGACAGCTTCGGTTAAAGTAGTTAATAATAAGGACAGCAGTTTAGCCTAGTGCCTACAACACCGTAATTGTTTTCATAAAAGCGGAATAGAAGATGGAAATGCCAAAGGGTTTAGGCGCTTAGTGGAAACAATGTCGGCAGCCCACACACACATTCATGCATATGTAATAGCTGCGGAGAAAGCGCGAAAGCAAAACAATAGGCGGCACGCCCTCAATGAGGGTATAAAACAAAGACTGAGTTGGCGGTAAAAACCGACACAAATAACCCTTATCAAAGCAAGTGTTTTGGTGTTACCCCTTCCAGCTTCGCAATGCCGTAGCGTAGGCTTAAGTGGCGCATAACTGCTGGCAATTTGCCGCCAAAAGCAATCGTGGCGGAATTTCTTGTATGTTTGTTGGTCAGCGGCAATTCTCGGTACTTGTGTATTTTTAAAGCGTCATTTCATCCTTTCACAACGATTATTGTCTAACAGCAGCCGTTTTCTCATTTTTATGCTATTTTTTCCTTTTTCGGACTGTTAAACTGTCTACATATTGAGGGGCGTGTTTCCTTTTGTTTTCTCTTTGTGAAATTTTTAAAAATATTGCTTTGCATACGTTTTTTTGTTGCTCTTTATGCTCTCTTCTATGCGTTTATCGTTAACATCATTTACCTTTTTTTTGTTTGGGTTACTTCTTTGTGTTTTCTTATGTTGCCACTTCAGTTTTTTTCACTTCCATAACTATTAAGAGTTAAGCCTTTGGCATTCCTCAAGGCTTCTTTTATTACAAATGTTTTGACATTTTAATAAATTCAGTGAGAAATCGACAAACGCCATGCTTTGCATATTGAAAATTCCTGTGCCGCTTTTATGGATCAAATGCCACGTTGCATAGATAGCGGTTTTTAATATCTCATGCTTTATTTCACTGTTACTTTTGGCTTATCTCTTTTGATATGGTTTATATGCCTGCGATGAATCATTTTACAGCTTGGGCACTTATGGGCCTCTTCCTCTCCATTGTGAATATATGTCTGTAAATACCACTGACCATTCAATAATGATTTATATTTCTTTATGAAACCTTTCTAAATACACACATATTTATGCAAAAATCACTGTAGATGTAAGGCAATAAAATTACATTTTTATACACATGAATTGCTGTTAAAAGTCACTTTCTTTTCTACATCTGACAGTTGATATTTATATGTTAGTTGTTTGTGTGAGGCGTTGGAAGTAATGGTATCATTTGAAAAATCTAGGTTGGTTTTGAATAAAGCCACTTAACCTCACAAATGAACATGACCGAATTTGTGCATCTGGATCTGGCATCCTAACAAAATTATTATCTATTATATTTCAGATAAACTATTATAGTCAGAGGAAAACTTTTGAGCTGCTGACTAAGCTTCTAAATCCTGAAAAGTGCACAACTGCCGTCTTCCAAAGATATATTTAGATCATACATGGGCATCTAATTCCATTTGATTGTGGTCGAAAAAATAAGCTATTCAGATAGATATGATAATAAACAAGACGAAGACGAAATATCACCTTTCACTTTGATGAAAATAGTATTCCCTCGAATTTTCCTTTTATCCATCATCATAAATTACTGACAACACTCGCTGAGACGCCTCTGGCTGGTTTATATATTTTTCACAAGATTCATGAACTATTATTTTAGTTTCGACAACATTAAATATTATCTAAGATAGTTGGACTGCAAGAAATGAATGACGTTATCAATGAACCCCGAGCGATTACAAAGGTTAGAAAGAGTGGTTCCAGTGCGTAGAGATCAAAATTTGTATGGTGCTTTCTTCGGGGTACGTAGACAAAGAGAAAGGACGTCCACTCTCCAATGTTATAAAAAAAAACCGTTAAAATTCAATGAAATAATTCTAAACAATTTTTTAGTGAAATGAGTTTCGACTCGAAAAGAAAAATTGCGCTTAACATATCATGATAATTTTGCAAATTTTCTCACCCAGCTAAGCCAAAAGGCTACAATAATAGTCAGAATTGATTGTTTTACCTTTCTGCAGAGAATCAATCAAAAAAATTCCTTTTGCATCCCAAAAAACTGATGGCATAACATTCTTTGCTGATCGTTGTGACCTCACCTGCTTTGGAGCTGAACAACCAGCTTCAGTCCACTGTAAACGTTTTTGTTTCAATTTACGATCATTTGAAGTTTTCAAAATATTTAGTTGTATAACGTTAATTATTTTAAAAATTAAATTACGAACCGATCCTCCAAGCGCTATATTAAATTTGTATCGATGTTGTATTTCCACCACAAACGCATTTGTGGCGAGCAGCGAACACCATGGTGTATGAGTGACAAGTGACATGTGTTGGTTTGCATAATAAATGATCTGCATAAATTTATTAATTAAATCGGATTTACTCATACATGACATTTGCATGTTGTTGCTCATCATCGCCAGCCATGCGGTACCTCATTTTCACACCATCAATACAAAGGCCATAATTTGCATACTTGATGAAAGGCATGGGATATACACATGAGATTTTCTATGTAAACGTGTTGCATTTGTGTTGAAATAATATGTTATATACTCTTTACGCTCGCATCTTAAATTCATATTAAATTTATTGAAAATATATTTTATAATAACCGTAGCAATTGGTCGCCATAATTGCAACACTTACAGTGTAAACCAACAACAACACATGTTTCCAGCTGTTCGGCTTGTTCTCTATAGTGCAATATCGATTTCGAAATGCGCACATACCAACAGACACAAGCAAATTTGTGCGGCAACAGCCACTCTGAACTAGCTTATCGCCTATTATTATGGCGTGTGCTAACAGTTTCTTTACTATTAAATAAATTGTGATTGCATTGCCCAGACATTTATATACAATTGCTGTTTACAACATTCATTCTGTGTCGGCATTTGCATCATTTGCCGTTATGTTAGTTGATTGGCTGGCGACATGAAGTGCTTGTTTGCTAACTGCTGCTGTCTGCCTGCCTGCTGTTGTCGCCAATTGTTGTTGATTATAAGCAATTTGTTGCTAATTTCTTCATTGGTAATCATTATATCCTGCAATGTCGGAGTGGTTATAAGTGAATATATAACGGTTATTATATGGTTTGCATTAACAAGGAAAAAAAATTCAAATTAAAAAAAAAATTAAATCAAATAGTAACCTTATTCTTATTATTATTTTTGAAAGTATCGATTTATATAGAAAAAGAATTTTTCCTGTTTTTTTCGGTTTAAGGGTGCTTTTAAAAATAACTAAAAATTGTAAATCGATATCTCAAATAGTTTTTGAGTTACAGGCTTCTAAATTGTAGACGCTCCGTTCAATCCGCTTCATCAGTTCATCTTTAAAGGCGTTTTTCCCAACACCACATTTTTCGTTTTTGCTTGAATGATGATTACTCGGAAACAAATGCCGCCATTTTGTCAATTTTGATTTCTTCGACCGTAGGTCATTGTACGGCCAATATCTTCAAGCCAAGAATTTTGTTTTTAGATTTTATTCACGGGGAAAGCCGAAAACAATGCTACAATGGTTGATCTTTTTTTTGCCCCGTTGGAGGTCGCTCGAAAAATATTAAATATTTTTATTAAAATATGTTTAAATACACGCTTCATGTTCTTCGAGTTTTTCTTTTAAATTCCTAAAAATCGTCATTTTTTAGGCATTAACACTAGGTGTATCCTAGTCCATTAAAGGGATAACACAGTCTTCCTTACTTAGGTAGAAAATTTTTATTGCTTCTAGGTGATAAAATGTGATATCTCTGAGTCCACAAGTTGAAATTTCTGATTTGGTTAAGTTGTAATACTACAATATTTACATGGCCTCTTACTATCATCAGGAGTTCGTGTGCAAGGAATCTGAATCCGCAAAATTATAAGGAAATAACTTCGATTATTTGAAATTTTAAAAGATTTTTGAAGAATCTCTGTATAATTTTAAGTTTTATTATTATTTTTATTTTATTATTACTTTTAGTTTATTGTTTCTAAATAAAGTATTACAAATAATTTTCTTTACATTTATGTATAATTGATTTCTTTGATCTGATCACCCTAAAATATATGTATACGTTGTCAAATGGGTTCTTCAGCAATTGATAAAAGCAAAGCTATTGCTATTTGTAATATCCTTCTTTATCATGTGTATTCAGATTTCAAGAGTGCACAAAATAAATTTCAAAGAAAAAATAAATTTTCATAAAGTTACGCGTTTTTTGAAGTAGAAGGTGGAAAATGACCACATCGTTACTATCTCTACTCTTTTAATCATCTGACAATTAAACAATAATTCATTCTTGCTGTTTGCAAATATCATTATAGTATGAACCAACAAAATTGAAAAAAAAATGCACAAAATAACGACTATTCCAATTTTCACGAACTTTTTAAAAATATTACAAATTAGGAGTTTTCAGTTTTTGTTGGCTGATAAATGGATAAATAGTTTTAGAACAATATTCATGCCAATTTTCAAGTAAATCGACTTGTTGCAACTTGAAATATCATAATGAGCGCATCGATTCGTATTCGGAAAAAGCGTAGTAAGTTTTAAGTTAAGCCCAAACCGACCGAGTTGCCACTACACTAGAAAGGTATTTCAGCCGCTGCTGATGATGCCATATGCAGCTGAGTTAATAAAATAATCGAAATAAAACTAATTTTAACATCCTCATTTTATTATATCACTATTAAGCACAACATATTGCCGCTAAATTCAACAATTAATGGTATATCATATAATTTTTATGGATTTCACCAGTGTAATTACCCTGCATTCAAGTGAACTAGTTGAAAACCACTTTACAACTAGAATGAACCGCGCGACTGCCCGTCAGTCTTTGTTTTCTATACCAAAACCTGGTAGTTTTCAAACATAAATGTCCTACGAATGTCAGTTGTCTGCTTTCGGTCAGAATAAACCAGTTTCTTACTAGTTCAAAACAGGTACATAAGTATTAAATTTACATTCTCAGTAACAATTTTAATTTGAAGTTTGTTCCTCTGCATTCTTATTAAAAACAGTTTTTATTAGTCGGCTATCTATATTACCTTTCCAATTCAGCTCTCAAAAAAATTGGTTGAGTTTGATGCTTCTCTGACTAGTTCGATTTTAGCCAAGTATTGTTTAGTCATTTCCGGGTACGTACACTTATCGTAAATGATTTATATGTAAATTTATATGTGAGTTCTTATGTGAAAATTGATTGATTTTTATATTTCGCACATAATCTAAAATAAATATTATACTTCTGGCGTTGAAAGAATTATTTACATTTATAAAAATCCGTGTGAAAAGTAAACATTTCACTTAATTCAAAAACTATTTCTATATACTGTTAAATATATCTAAAATCAAATAAATATTTGGGAATTTGTGTTTTATTACCTTTTTCTTGTATTGTTTAACCGTGTGTTTAAATGTTTATTTCTACAAACAAAGTCAAAGAAACTGATAGTTTGTAAAACAGGAAATTAATAAAATTTACTTATGCAGATGTGATTATATTTACCAAATAAAAAAGTTTAAAATATATTATATTTTTCAACAACTGTAGGAAACTACAGATTATATCAAATATTTACAAAATAATTTCAAATAGATATGTTGTGTTTCAAAAATAATTTGTTTTATAACTTGCTATTATTCGATATGTGGCGACTCTACTCACCATTTTCGCTGCTAGTAATATTATATAATAACAAAGTATGTGAGAATAAGGGAAACGATTTGATCGTAAGTAAAATTTCAGCCGAGAATATACAACACTAGCAGATCACTCCATTTGCTGTTCCACTGGGGGGAAGAAGACCTCATATAGACGATGAGATTCGAACTTGTAATATTGTTCATATTTAATTCCGCTCACGACCGCTTCGTAGTGAGCCAACTGGGCGAGTGAGCCGCAATGCACATTATTTTATGACAGTGACTCCCCTCTCGTGATCCAATGATGTCTACATCGCATATTATGTTGCAGCCTAGCCACACTTTTAAATTCGTGATATCTTTGGAATGGCACGTCCGAATCGATTAATTCAAAAAGTTATATAAAGTTATTGGATCAGTTTTGAATATGAATTAATTAATTTTGTTAAGAATTAATAAGAAGTTACAAATAAGGGTCTTTTACAGAGGCGGCATTTTTATTATTATTATTTATAAAAGAATACTTATTGTGACGTTACTATAACAGTTAGACATATACTATCGCGACAATTTTACTACGAGTAGATAATTATATGTTCTGTAGAGTCTTATTACATTATTTTGTGCTATAATCAATAGTGTTCGCAACGCACACTAGGTGAGAAATTTTTGAGGTAATTTTTTACACATTGCGTTACATTATTGACGTTTTAGTAAGGATTCCTAACATTTTTGTAAACATAATATAACTTATGTTCACCGGTGAGGGTGTAGCTTCTCAACGGCGAAGAAATTTTCCAAATTCGTCGATTAGTTTCGAAGCCTTTTCAATTTAAACAATCAAATCTTTTCTTTTTATAATATTAGTATAGATTACATTTTTAAGTATCATGCAATCTGAATTCATTATGGAAGGTAAGTACTAAATATGCAGTTCCGATTTCGTATATCCTTCTGATCCCTATATCTATATTTTTTCTATATTGAATTTATTCCATTTCTGAACCAAAATTTAGCATCATTGCTTTTCCTTGGGAGTTCGTCTTGGAGAAAAAAAATAAAAATATTTGCATCCTTATCCATCTGATCAAATATGACCCAGACTGACAAAAACAAAACTACAATTTCACGTTTTTTAATACAAATCTTTATTACCGACTTCATAATAGACTCTGGGGCCAATACAAGCACGCCAACGCTTAATCCAATTTTCCATACACTTGTTATAAGCCTCGACTGGAATGGTCATCACTGCCTTTAGCGAATTTTATTTTTTTCGTTTTTATTTTTTGCCATTCGCTAGACAATTTCGTCGTAATATTCCTAAACCCACGTCTCGTCATTAGTAATGATGCGTTTGATGAATGTAGGATCCTCAGTCCAGTATTAAGACGATTCATTAGTGATTTTGAGATCCTTTGCTCTCCCTCTGAGGTCAACATGATGTTTTTAATCACACTCTTTCGACGTTATCCTCATTAACAGAAATTGATGGTTGCAATCTCAGTTTCTATAGTAAGTTCTGTTTTTTATTATGCTTCGAATTTTTGCTCACACTCTTTAATTGCTTATGCCTTAAGATATGAATCGAATTGAAACCAGTCACCTTCAGCTTCCGTTCAAATCAGCAATTAATTCCAGTTATATATGCGGTTACCCTCCAACACAATTAATGCAATGTGTCAATCATATTCAGTAACATACTTGTACATAAATAAATACAAATTTCATGGTTATAATTGCAATCAGAACTTAATTTATTTTCGACAAATAAGCAATTTATCTAGCCAAACCACTTGCACGCCTAGTCACAAATACAAGTATATATAATATTATCATTGAGGTATCACGACATGCTTGCATTTTATCCTAGTAATTCCATTCCATCAAAACAAGCGGCAAATGTCAACGAGAACTATGTAAATCAATTCATACAAGTGTAGGCGAAGTGAAGCCCTTTTGATGTAATACCATAGCGTAACCAAATAATGAAAGGCATGCATAATTCAATGGCAACACTCATGCTAAAAATATATAAATACGAATACACATATTTCAAGTAATGCCTGCAGGGTAATATAGTGGTAAGGACTTTAAGTACACAGTATCTCTTTTACTCTTATTTCAGATGAATGTATTTTTGTGGTGATTCGCAATGAAAATAGAGCTTGATCTTTCGAAGGCGTATACCTGAGTTTTTATATTCGAAAATCTTATAATATAGTATAAATTTAGATTTTGAAATGCAATAGACTTCTGAAACGCATTCCATGCCAAAGTAGTGAACTTTTCTTGAGACTTGGGTTAAGTTAGGGTTTAAAGCTTAATCCTGAGATAGCGATCGCAATTAAATAGTTAAAGACAAATCCTCTAAAAAATCAAAATAACACCTAAAGAGTTACCTTCTCAAAAATGAAAACTCGCAAAACAGAAATCAGATTTGCATTGAAATCGGTGTTAGTTTTTAATTTTTTTCGATATCGTGCGAATATTTTGATATTAATTAAATTAATTTCTTTACCGAAATATGGTCAGAAAGCGGCTCCGGCCAAACATATTTTTATTAACAGATAGCTAAAGAACTAGTTAACCGAACGCTAGCTAAAAATAATCTGATATGATGTTATCTCCGTTAAACGATCGACAAGCGCAGCCACTAGTCTGAGATTAACGAAATCGCAACGCTCATATAAGTGCCTACGAACGCTCTGAATCTAGATCTAAATACAAAACATACCGAGCTCTAGAAGCTAACAAAGGTAATTTTAGTTTGGATTTCCTTTTTACATATATAATTCATGTATTTTCTTTAATATCATTAGGAAGAGTTCGGTAGAATAATGGATCCATATTTATCTATAAACCCAGATTTTGCACCATTAAAGTTCAAGTAGCTTGAAGGACACGTTACTTGAAATATATTTGAATAAAATTAGACTTGTGGTTTTTATAGAATTAAGTGCTTTAGTATTCGTTTTTATAAAGATGTGTAACCAGATTCGAAATACAGGTGTTTTGAAGTACCCCACAATATTTCACTTCAAATATTGCCACGCCCACAAATTATTGGTGATTATCAAAACTACTAGAAATAATTCAGTACTCAAAACCTGCATTTTCGGTACAACAATAATTTTTTGAACATCGAAATTGTTTTCTCTTTAGTCTGCGGAATTTGAAATACTATTCTTCCTCTACTCTCCTAAACTGTTTAGAAAATATGGACCTCCTTTGTGAGTTGGTTTAATAACGTTTTCTAAACTCATTCGTCTACTTTTTGGTAACCTGCATTGCTGTAAAAAATTATGTTGTCTTGAATACTCTGTGAGTCGACTATCTAGCTATAGTTACCATATGTACTACTACCGCTTTGTATAGAATACTAAAGATGAGATCCATTTGATGTTTTATTTTGATTCACTAGAGAACTGACTTCTTAATTGCTCTATCAGTCAAAAGTTCCGCTTGTTGCCAAGAGTTATTCTATCTTAACTTTATTTATGAATAGTTTATCTTAATTCCCAGCAGGGATTCCTAAGTAAATTTTTTACATACATACATGCCTCATAGATGTCAACACACATATACTTCGTAGAGTTATGACATCGTGGAAAACAATCAGACACATCCGATACGCTATGCTACTCGTATCAACCTACTTATGCAAATTGTATTTGCTCAGCTGTAAGATGAAGCCAACACAAGACGCATAAGTGACAATCAGCATAACGATTTGACTGAGATTTAAATGGCCGCATTGAGGATACGCTGCGATTTGTCATGACAACAACAAGTGTGGTGTGATATGCCAAACTGACAGCAATAAACATAAAAAACATTTAGACAACCAACAATTACTTGCAACATGTTATGCGACTGCTATATATACATACAATCGTGATATTATGCATATGTGTTTAAACATATACAATTTTGTTGTTGTGTGCGAGTGCATTCGCCTGCTTGATTGCTGACTTCTCGGTGCGCTCATTTGCTTTGATGTGCAATTCTCAAAACTAATCTGTAATTTCCGTTTCCTATCGCACTTACCACAACTGCTTGTGCATTCACACAGGAATAGTGGCAGAAGCAAGTGGAAAATGTCGTTGTCAGCAACAACCCTAGCAATAAAGATAACAGTGGTTACAGCAAGCTACAACAACAATAACATTAGTAAGCTGCAATGAGTGTGACAGTGTTTCGCTTGTTGCCGAATTTTGGGAGCGGCAACATATTTACAGTTAAACACAAATGTCTTATATGCAACGGCAACATATGTTCCGTACTTGTTGTAGTTGTATTGTATCCACAGTAGCAAGCGCAAAGCTAACGAAGCCAACAAGACAACAATACAAATCTACCAATCTACAAAGGAGCTCACACATGCATTGTTATGTGCATATTTTAAAGGGAATTCTCGGCAACGGTACAATCGGAGTCTCACACAAAGCCGGAAAGCTTACAGGTTTGTTAAGAGTGACTGCGTTGAGTAAGAGGCGATTACTGGTAGCGATGACTTAAACTATCTTACGCTTCTGTAAATTACAATTTTTCCATGCCATGTTTTCATATGAGTCTTCACTTTTAGTCTATGTCGTAGTTTTTCATTCTTTCGAGCAGTGGAGGCGAGTGAGTGAGCTACACAATTACCATTCGGAAGTGAGTTTTACCTCAAGCTTCCAGGCTGGCAAGTGGGGACTGATACAAAAGTGGCGTGTCCTGGTGTGCAGGATATCACGACTCCTAGTAACTCGAAATGGAAATTGTTGAGTGATCCTTAAATAGAAAGAATGTAGTTATAGCACTACGAGAGAATTTCGGAAAAAAAAATATTTTCAGAAAATGGCGGCTGTTTGGACAATATTTTTCGTTACATTTAGGTTGTAATATTTTTTGAAGAAAAAAATTTTTAAATTTTCGAGTGACGCGACCTTCGACGGCATTATAAGGTTCTCCTCTTGAAGTCGATTTTTTTTTAATGTTACAATAGAGGTGCCCGTTTATGAGCAAACAGCTACAAGACGAAAATAGTCTAGTAGAATAATAAATTAATAAATAGTTTAATATTGAAATGTGACCCCATCTATATGCGACTATAACTTGTATTTGAAAACACCATACTAATTTTTATATTAGCTAAATTAAATACTTTTTTGAATCTGAGGTGAAAACAATTTTAATTAAATTTATTTTTTATTTTGCTCTAAAGGCAATTTCTTTTCATATTTTATAAATTCATATATACATATTTGAGATCTTTTGATAAAATTCAACACATATTCCTATTTTTAATCAAGATATTTCTGTACATGTTGCCTTTACATTCATATTTCGCTTCAACTATTTCATCACCATTGCCCTTAGAAAATATTCCGTTTGTAGTTTCGTTATTACGTGTGAAATTGCACAAGCGACAAGTATTTGCATAACAGCTGCTCTTACACACATATATCTATCTGGTCTATCAGTTGCCTTTGTAGATGTTCAAGGACATTTCGGTAATATAAACAAAAATTTGAGGAAATAAAGGGAATCGTAGTCCCATATATACATACATACATTTGTATACAGGAAATTAATTGCCTTTAAGTGAGGAGAAATATTTTAATAAATGCGATGGTGTTAACAGCTTATTAAAATATTATGAAGTTGTGCTTCTGTAGGATTAATATATTTATATTATGAGAAAATAAAGCGAAGGGCAAAACCAGATTGAAAGAATTTATGAAAATGAAAAAAATCAAGTATCTTTAGTTAGTTCAAAACAAAATTTGCTCAGTCGGTTGAAGTACATATTACAGCGACCGCCAACTGCAAAATATGTTTAGTGTTCGGAAACCTTTACCAAACCGAGGGTCAAAATAATTTATAAAACCAAAAAATCTAAGTATTTTTTTTTTGTTTTAAATTTGCTGAGATCAATATTGGAATAAGGTACTGTGGTAGGAAACACTAATGATCAAATACATCCTATAATTAGAGTCTCTTCGAGAACAGTTATTTTTTTTTTCCTCTTTCCTTCTTATTCATTCAAAACTTATAAATTCACCCTTTTTTTTTTTGCTAATTTCAATTATTAAATAATATATTAAAATAAGTGTTACAAAATTTAAACTTTTCACATTTCATCCGTAATAGAGCGGTGCTCAAATCTCAAATATAAACGCATTATTTTGCCTTTTGTGACTCAGGAAGTTTCGCATATTACACAAATTGGGTCTCCGGTGTCGATTGAGTGAAAAGAGGGTACTCGTTGATTTTATTATTATTTATTATGTCTAATGAAAGCAATATTTTTGTACAGAATTCAATAGTTTTCCATTTTGGTTATTTTAGAAAATAATGTTATGCCATGTACCATAGTTGCCGCTAACCTGATTTTTTTTGTGGTAACAAAGTCAAAACTCTGCTTCCAATCAATATTAGTAATAACAGAAGCTCGATAAGTAAAAAATAGCTCATAGAAAAAATAGCATAAGGATTTTTTGAAATTTCTACGTTCATATTGATCAAGCTCAAAGTAGATTATCCACACAGCACACGCACTAAATGAACTAATTTATCAGAGATTAATTCTTATGACGAACATTGATAATTTATTCTCGGAATTAAAAAGAAATTTATGGAAAAATTCACTAAGCTACAAAAAAGTTTTAATTTATATACCGTTTAAGTGAATGTATTGTGAAAGAAGCTATCAGAGGCTTTAAAATGTAAACGCTCATGCAATAAAATGCTAGAGCACTACCATTATTGTTTTGTCCACGTTATCAATCTTCGTGTCTGTTATTAAGAAGTAGCTGTATCAAGAGTTTCTATAGTTTAAATAAGTATCATAATTTCCGTATTTTCTCTCTTCATATTTAATAAATTAACAAGAAACTGAGCAAAACAGAAAAAGAAGATTCGGCCGTACGTACGTAAGCTCTTTATGGGCTAACTACTGACGAATAATTTCCCTGCCGCCTATAAACGCAAATGTTTGTAAATATTAGGGTACTCAAAGTTTGCCAGTTTAAATATTTATTTTAATATGCCTTTTAGGCTCATACCAAAAATAAGGCATCCAACGATTTCCAATATAGTAAAGCTTTATATTTGGTCAACAAATTTAATAGCAACCAAGTAAGGACCATAGGCTCTGGAATTTACATATTCGGTATCTGGGGGCTTGAATAGTTATGGTTCGATTTTGACAATTTTTAGGCTTGCGATGGCATACCTTAAAAGAAAATGTTTATCCCCATACATAAATTCTTGCTTGATTTGTCAAAATAATCTTATGTACCAAATTTGGTGGAATAGTTATAGTTAAGTAAGTTCGAAGATATGTGATTTCACCTTAATGTGGGCGGTGCCACGTCCATTGTCCAAGTTTGACACTTGCTCCTATAAAGCCCTTTTTATCATCTCGGATGTAAAATTTAATATCTCTGAAGCATTTCGTTATGGAGTTTTAGTAATTTTTAATAACATCGTTATATGGGGAGTGGGCGTTGTTGTAATAATATGTCCTGTGCAAATTTGGGCGATATAGCTTGAATAGCTTGAGAGATATTTACATTAAACCGATTAGAGGGCGAGGCTACGCTTTGTTTATACAAAATTTCATACCACAGGTGTCGCTCATCATTGCGATTCGTTGTAAAATAAATATTTAAGGAACACCCTAATATACATGCATATAAAATACCCTCCGCTGCGAGAATAAGTTATTGCTTTGAAATGGTGTGCGATCCTTTAATTAAATCTATCAACAGCTATGTAGAAATATGCCGGCATTTAATATACAGAAAACGAAAATGAAGAGAGAAAACGAGAGAAAAAAAGATAAAAGCTTTAAAAATTAACAAAAAGGTGGCGTACATTTTTTTTACGCGGACACTTTTTGATTTCACCCTCACTGGAGTACTTTGAGCCCTTGCGCCATTCTATGGTGTCCTTCAGTATTCGTGCTCTGCCGCTGTTCATTTGAGCGCTCATGTTCGGCTGACCAAGCAAACGGTATTGCTGTTGTTGTTGTGTCCACTTTATTGCCAGCTTTTAGGCGGACAATACGCAATTTAACGCTGACATGTTAATCAATGTTGTCATTGAGCGTCCTGCTGATATTTTCAACGCTACAAACTCATACACATGTCAGCTATGCATGTATGTATGTATGTGTGTGCTGTAAGTGCTGCGTGGCTAGTTGAATAAAATGGTAATTTCATGGCTTTCACAAAGAGGCTCCACCTTCACAACTTTAATTTTTCCCTCATACATGTTGGTGTATACGAAAATACATATTGCAAATATAATATAATTTTGATTTAATATTAAATTTGTACTTTGCTAACTCATAAACACATGTACACATGTTTTATAGTTTTCGCATTTGATTGAAGAAGTATTTT